GTATAGATGGAATGACCTCAACATAGAAAAGGCCATAAATGACCAGCCCACAGCTACCGTTGTACTCAAATGGTGACAGGTTGAGAGTTTTTCCTCTAAGATGAGGAAGAAGACTAGGTTGACCACTTTCACCGCTCTTATTTGACATAGTAGTGGAAGTCCTAGTCAGAGCAATTCTGCAAGGAAAAGAAATAAAAGACATTGGAGTCTGAAGGAAAGAAGTAAAATTGTCTCTGTTTATAAATGACATGATCTTATATATAGAAAACTCTAAATAAGACACCAAAAGAATTGTTAGAATCAATAAACTAATTTGGTGAAGTTTCAGGATACAAGATAAACATACAAAAATCAGTTGTACTTTTTCATACTAACAACAAAGTATCTGAAAAAGAAATAGAACAATCCTATTCACAATAGCATCAGAAACAATAAAATACTTATGAATAAATTTACCGTGAAGGTGAAAGATCTCTCCACTGAAAACATAAGATACTCATGAAAGAAAATGAAAGAAGACACAAATAAATGGAAAAATATCCGATGTTCATAGATTGAAAGAAATAATAGTATTAAAATGCCCATATTACCTGAAGTAATCTATGGATTCAATGTAATCACTATCAAAATTCCAATGGCATTTTTCACAGAAAAAGAAAAAAACAATCCTAAAATTCAAATGGAACTACAAGAGACTGCAAATAAGCAAAGCAATCTTCAGAAAGAAGAATAAACCTGGAAGCACTGCAATTCCTGATTTCAAAACACTACAAAACTACAGTAATCAAAATAGTATGGTAACTTGAATAAGAACAGACACGTAGACCGAGAAACAGAATAGAGAGCCCAGAAATAAAACCATGCATATGCAGCCAAACAATATTTAACACGGGAGCCAAGAATACTCAATGGGGATAAGACAGTCTTTTCAATAAATGGTGTTGGCAAAATTGGATACTCACATGCAAAAGAATAAAACTGAACACTATCTTATACCACTCACAAAAAGCAACTCAGAATGGATTAAAGACTTAACTATAAGACCTGAAACCATAAAAATCCTAAAAGAAAACATAAGACAAAAACTCTTTGATACTGGTATTAGCGATGATTTCTTGGCTATGACATGCAAAGTACAAACAAACAAAAATAAATGAATGGGACTATATCAAACTAAAAAGCTTCCGTAGAGTCAAATAACAAATCAATAAATGAAAACATAACCTATAAAATGCGGGAAATACTTGACAAATTATCTGATAAATGGTTAATATCTAAAATATATGTTACTCCTACAACTCAATAGCAATAAATAACAATAATAATCTGAAGTAAAAATAGGCAAAGGACTTGAATAGGTATTTTTCCAAATAAGATATTCAAATGACTAACAGGTACCTGAGGATGTGCTCCCCATCACCAATCATCAGGAAAATTGCAATTCAAAATAACAGTGAGAGATCACCTTGCACTTGTTAGAATGGCTATTATCAAGAAAAGCAGGAGGTAACAAGTGCTGGAGAAAATGTGGTGAAAAGGAAAGCCTTGTCCACCATTGATGGGAATGTAAATTGGTAATAACCACTATGGAGAACAGTACAGAGGTTCCCCCTAAACTCAAAAACTTCCAATGATGGGATTAGTGTCCTTATCTCATTCTCATTCATTCCCTCTCTTTTTCTCTCTCCCATGTGAGGACACAGAGAGAGGGTTTCACCAGAAGCCAGATCAGCAGGCCCCTTGATCTTGGAGGTCCCAGCCTCCAGGACTATGAAAAATAAATGTGTTGTTTAAGCCATTCAGTCTACAGTATTTTGTTAAATCAGGCTGAAATGACTAAGACAAGTGGGGACTATACAAGCTAGAGCTATGTATACAAGCTATATAAACAAGCTAGAGCTATACATCCTACCTGTGTTCAAAACCCCAGCTCTGCCACTTTTTTTTTTAATTTAAGATTTTAATTTATTTATTCATGAGAGACACAGAGAAAGGCAGAGACAGGCCTGATGCAGGACTTGGTCCCAGGACCCCGGGATCATGACCTGAGCCAATGGCAGACGCTCAACCACTGAGCCACCCAGGCGCCCCCCTTCCACTTTCTCACTGAGAAGTTTGGAAAGTTGGTTAACCTTTCTGTGGCTCAATTTCCCCATAATAGAAATGAGGGAAAGAAGAACACTTAGACATATAATCTGCTAAAGCACAATGCCCAGCACAATGTAAGCACTTCTGTAGAGTAGCTATTGTTACTACCCAGTGGCAAGGCAGTGGTTCTATGGGAGGGAACAGAATCCGAATTTGTCAAAATTCTGACAGTTTTGTCAAAACTCAGAATTTGTCAGTTTCCCAAGAGGCTATAACTATAGTCTAAAATTCATAAAAATAAATAAAAGATCCTACACTTAAGTTTAAAATAACCTTGTTGGACAATACTAGATTGAGCATATTTGACCTAACAGAAGTGGTCATACAAAAAAACCTACAGTATCATGCTTGATGAAAAGACTGGAATGGTGTCATACGTGTGCTATATAACAGAAGCCTGGTATCCAATATTAAGAGGGTATAGTCCCACCATACCCAAGACCAAACTTGAAGTATTTACTGCGTCTCTCTTCTTGCAATGTAATTTTATGAAGCGTTATTAACAAAATGAGATCACTCCAGAGTAACAAGACTGTGATAGTGAGGGATTTGAGAATGAGATCTCATCCCCCTATTATATGCCCTTTTAGCACCTTGTGCTTTTCCGTCATTACACTTAACATTTTGCATATGAACTACGTGTACACATGCATCCATACAATGTATGTGTATGTATAGATGTAGTACACAGACTGTGTACATCTGTATGTAACACAGAGCCACTGTCTATCTCCTCCACTAGACTGCACATTTGACAGGGACAAGCTTGGTGTCTAGCTCACAGTGTATCTACTCAGTACAACACCTTTCACCTTATTAGTATTCCTATGGGTTCTCAAAAATTATTTCCTGGGGGCGCATGGGTGGTTCAGTCAGTTGAGTGGCCAATTCTTGGTTTTGGTTCGGGTCATGGTCCTGGAATGGGGCCCCATGTCAGGCTCTGTGCTTGGTCGAAGTCAGCCTGAGGATCCTCTCCCTCTCCCTCTGTCCCTCCTCACCCCCCTCTAAAATCAATCAATCAATCAATCAATCAATCAATCTTTAAAACGTTTTATTTCCTGGATGAATGAATAAATGAATGTGCATCACATAGGAAATTTCTGAAGACAAGGTATGTTTAGCCAGAGGAAGACATGATGGATGACTTCAAATAACTGAGTGCCCCATAGCAAAGACAGCACACTAAGTGGGTGAGGTTCCAGACTGCAAAGAGGTAAGACCACGAGGTAGAGGCAAAGTCCAACTCTAGGTAAGAATGAACTTGTGTTGGCTGAACCCGCATGGAAAATTTAGCAGTCCATTTCCCAAAGCAGTGAGCCCTCCTCCGTCACTACAAAAGAAAGGAGTTTGGCTGTTCTATGGGAAGGACCCTACGGTAGGTGGTGTACGACCAAAATCCCTTCCAATTATGAGACTATGCTTTCTACTACTTTCCACTCTTATGTGCCAGTCGTTTCCTCTCCATTTCTGCCCACCCGGAGCCTAGAACCTACACAACCTAGCAAAGAAGGCATGTACTTACTGTGTCTCCAAAGGGCTCTAGGAAGGGAGTTGAATACACTTATCTACCTTCTTCAGCTATACTGGGGGGCAGGAAGGAGGTACTCGGAAAAGAAAAGTGGAAAAAGGAAGAGGCGCAGAAGAGCCATTTCAAAGCAGACAGTAAGACTTCAAAGGCACAAATCTGGGGCGTCTGGGAGGCTCAGTCAGTTAAGTGTCTGCCTTCGGCTCAGGTCATGATCCTAGAGTCCTGAGATCGAGTCCTGCATCAGGTTCCCTGATTCTCCCTCTCTTCCCCTGACCCTGCTTGCACGTGTGTACACGTGCGCTCTCTCTCTTCTTCTCTCAAATAAATAAATAAATTAAATATTTGAAAAAAATAATAAAGGCACAAATCTTAGGAGGGGCTCATGAATAAAACATCCATTTCAGTCAGTTGACTAAAACTAAAACTATGGGCAATTTTCTTCACTTAATAATGAGAGAATCAAAGTATGCTACTTGATCACTTCATAGCCAAACAAATATAAACATTTAAATCCTATTTTGGCAAACTAGTAGAATCATCAGAGTCTTGTGTATAAAACAAGAACATTTTACAGCTGTGAAAATACCATCCCCCTCACCATCCTCGTCCTTCAGGGACTCATCAGTTCCATCAGAGAAACTCAGGTTTAACCCGTCCAAGTTTGGACGCAGAGCACAGCTCTTCTGAATTTTTTTTCCAGGTAGCTGGGCATCATGTGTAAGATCACCTTTTCACTTAAGAGCATAAATCATACCAACCGTTTTTATTAAATGCACAAGAAAAAAAAGCACGATCTTTTCATTCAAGGGTTTGTTTTATGGGGAGGTTGCTAGCCCGTCTAAAAATATATGGAAAAATCTCAATTCCTTGGGCTTCGAAGACTTTACTCTAGAGTGAAATTATGCATTTTTCTGGTATATACCCTCCTCACTCCTTAGCAGAGGTAAGATGTGCCTATAGCCTCCCAAAGCCCAAACTACCGTTCATCAGAGAAGTGGTAGGGCTTCCCACTGGTGCCTCGGGAGGTGTCTGTTGCCTCGGGAGGAAAGATAAAGGACCTTGAAGCACTCAGACTGCATGAGGGTAGATCCGGAATCCAGAACAGACTCCCATATAGACCAAGCCCTTGGATAGGGACCTGTATCTTCATGCGACAGATGGAAGTCCTTCCCAGAGGACATTCCTCAGTCCTAATCAGCCTCCCGCAAAGGAGCCATCATGGTGGCCTGTGCAGCTCCCCACCTGCCCTCTCCCCTCTGCCATCACCTGTGCACCATCACCTTCCCCAGGGGAGGAAGGAAGGGTGGTCCAATGCTGGCCTTACCTGTTTTTCCCGCTCCGCTTTCTCCAGTAATGAGAATACACTGGTCTTTATCTTGATCTCTTAGGGATCTGTATGCTTCATCTGACAAGGCAAAGCTGCAGGGGATAATGGAGAGAAGTCCTTAAAATTCAGCTCGTCACCACGTTTATCAGACGTAACTAGAGGCTCTTTAGAGGACACTGATAGGCTTGGGATAGGAAGCTGAGACATCAGCTTTTCTTTCCTTCAAATTCTTAAAGGAAGTGCACAAGCCCATACAACCTTACGGCCCATGTCGCCGTTTCCTGGCATTCTCTAGAAAGGTACCGACTTACTGTGCTCTGAAGACACGCTTTATCGCACGCACGTGTGATACCTAAGGTTCATTTTATTAGAATCTGGGCAATTCAGAGAACCAAGGGGAAAATGTGACACCATATGTCCAAAAGTGGGTGATGTAGAGGTTTGCAGAACAGACACGCTGGTGTTTCCAAACAACGCGAAAAATTGTCAAACTTTAGAAAAATGCTATCAAATACCAAATAGCTGCTATCAGCATCTGCTTCAGCTAAATACAGAACTGCTGCCTCCCCGGACACCAGGCGGAGCGTGGGCCCGCGCCCGGGCCCGGGGGCGGAGCACGTCCTGGCGCTGCTGCCCCCGGGCCCCGGGCCTCATCCCGCCCTCTGGCTGCCTGCAGCTCGCTCTGGCCGCTGGGCACCGTGTTGAGCCCGGGTAGCCCCTCTGGGAGGCACCTGCCACCGGTCCTGGCCCAGAGGGCCTCACGCAGACAACACGCCGGGGATGTGACGGTGGAGAGGCGTCAGGCCCGGCTCGGGAGGGCGCGGGTAGAGGCAGCGGGGGCCAGACGGACAGACAGACAGCGCCGCCGGCGGCGAGGAGCCAGGACACCTGTGGGCAAGAGCGGGCCTGGGCGGTGGCTGCAGGGCCCTGGGCCGGAAGAGCCGGCCTCCGCGCACACTAGCGAGGCTCTCGGGGCCTCAGGCACTAAGCATCCCACATCTCGCTTTAACAGAACCTCCACGAATAAATTATTAGGGGCGCCCAGGTGGCTCAGTGACTGAGCGTCCCCCTTCAGCTTAGGTCATGATCCCTGGGGCCTGGGGTCGAGCTCTTGTTGGGCTCCCTGCTCCGGCGGGGGGGGGGGCGTCCTGCTTCCCCCCGCCCTTCCCTGTCTGCTCACCATCTCTTCTCACCTTCTCTCTCTCTCTCTCAAATACATAAAATATCTTTTAAAAAAATAATTTTTTAAAGAATAAATTCTTATTAGTCCCATTTCCAGGTGACGAAACTGCAGCAGGAGAGGCCAGCACGCCAAGGTCACGGCGCCAGGGTAACACGGCAGAGCCAGAGCCGACACTTACTGCCGCCGCACCGCGGACGGGGCCGCACAGGTGCACAGGCCAGCCTGGAGGCCAGGGCGGGCTACGGAGCTGAAACGCGGCCAACCGGACCACCGAGAGCCTTTCGGCCCGTGACTGGTCTCTCCTGAGAAAGTACGTGGTGCCATTGACACGGACAATCCACGGGGCACCTCCAATGTGCCAGGACAAGGTGGCCTCATCGTCATCATTAGACTCGCTCCTTAAGACACTCGTATGAAGTAAGGCTTAGCCTCCCTAGAGAATGATCCAACTCAGCCTGAGACAGGACGTGACCTGTCCATCCGTGATGCCCTTCCCAGGAAAGTCGTAACTTGGACCCAGAAATACTGTCACCACATTCGGCCCCTCTTGTCGCATCCCCTGAGGACTACTTGTGATCTTATCTTCTAGGTGGACTCCTGTGGGGGACCCTCGGACGGCCACCACGATGAGCCTTATTCCGTAACCATGATTTCAATGAATCCAATGCCTTGCCCGTAATAAGTATATTCTAAATGCATGTATTGAATTGGTGTATGAATAAGAAAAAAGAAAGAAAAAATAATGGAAATATCTAGCATAGGGGATATTTTTGTGTAGCAGGTGGCTCTAGCCTATTTCCATGGCCAGTACGCAGCTCTTGCTCTGCCTTCAGATCCCTCTCAGCCACTCCCTATCTAACCAGCACCTTGCTCACCCCCAAGACTACGCTCTCCTACTCTCTGATGCCCCCAGGTGAAAACAAGCCCGCCCCCGTGTGCACCAGGGAAAGCAAGACACAGTGACCAGGAGCCAAGGCACCTGCGTAGGATTCTCTGGGCCCCAGATCCACAACCCACCACCCACCTGACCTTGAGCAAATCACTCGCCCTGGCCGAAGGGCAGTTTCTTTGTGTACAGACTGAAGAATGGAGCCACAGACTTTAGCTTAGAAGGCTAAATAAAAGTATATAAAAGCTCTTTACATGTTATAAAGCCCTAAATGAACGTGTGAATTTTTGTGTGTTACAATTAGGAATGCACCCGTCTTCTGATCCCTCACCAGAATGTAAGCTCCTCTAGGGCACAGCCTTTCTGTCTAATTAATCCTTGTGCCATCCTGCAGTCACAAACATAAGACACCATCGATACCGAAATATGGATGGATGAATGAGTGAATTCTCTCCAAGCACTGACAAAGCCACTACCGGACTGAGGCCCATAGAATGGTAATCAGGAAATTCATTACTTACGGCCTGCGTGCAGGAAAGAAAAGTAGCCCTTAGGTTTCTTATTAGCCTCACACCCTCTCCCGTTCCTCTCACCTCCAGACAACAGTGCGGAGATGCCACTATGGTTATCATCAGTGGCAAGAAATGCAGGAAAATACATTATGGCGGATACAAATGAACTTTTCCGAATATGTATTCACTGCCTTCGTGGGTCGTTAACCTACACCTTTCCTATGCTCCGGAGACTGCAAGTTAGATTTATATATTACACCATCAGCAGATCCCAAATGATGCAAAATTACTTCTAACACGAATAAGGACATATGACTGTGTGTGTTGAGTGTGTATGTGGACATAACACATGCACACACACACAGAGACCAGGCTTTAGGAAATCATCAAATGACCCTGCCACGGGTTTATTTCACATCAAAGCATTTAAGCTGAAGGCTTAGTTTTTTCTTGTCTGTCCAGACAGAAATACTTAACTACTGTCCCCCCACCCTCCCCAGTCTGGGCTCGACTCATCTAATGGAGTAAATTTTAATATAATGACCAAAAGGGAGAGCTATTCTTTTGCAACTCTAGACAGCCACTGATTTCAAAGTGCCATGAAAATTTACTGAAGCACTGGAAAAATTAGCTTGGACTACGGGCACACCCATCTCCAGCACAGTAGAACTGTGATCGTATACTTACTTCGTGTAAACGCAGATCATGACTCATTTTTAAAAAAAAATGACTAAAGGGCAGGCCATGGAGGACACAAGCCCTGCTCCCGGTCTTGTTCTTTCTGTCTCTGGCAACATCAGCACGTACCCATCACCAAGGCCAACATTTATAACTATAAACTGAAACCACATGCATGCCAGCCTTCCAAACCACTCTATAATTAAGGACCCTAAATAAATCTTTAGAAAAATTCTTACTTAAAAACACTTGTGATCCATATGCTTCACATTATTTTGTGAGCATGTCAGCATTGTTATTTACCGCATGCAGAAATGAGTGGCTTATTCTAACGCGATGACGACAGCACAGGGGCAAGCACGGGTTTTAGGCAACCACATCAAGGGCGCGGTTCCATCCACTTCTTCTGTCCTCTACTTGAGCGCTAAGAATAGAGATGGCCTGACACTTGAAAGCAAGCCTTCCCTTCATTCCCAGGTCAGCCACATGGCTGTTCCGTTCGTTGAGCGCAAACTCCCCCCAACACCAGGTAAGCTCCCTGCACATTCCCAAATGGCCGTTATTTATTGCTTTTTGGTTTCAGGAGTTTGGTTTGGGGCTTATCTGTCATTTTCTGTCAGGGCGGAATGTTGGGTTGCATGTTCAAAATTATCTAGCCAGAATTTATGTTCCTCCCCCATCTCCTTTCTGTTCAAAAATGTTCATCTCCGCAGCGGTTCTGCTTTCACGGTCATCAAAGGTGAGGGCCAGGCTTCTTTCTCCAAAACTTCAGGCTCTCTACCCTATAGTTTTCCTTTCTAAGTTCATTTCATCTACAATGCAAAGCAGGAAAGACGTCGCAGCACATACATCACCGCCACCACCTAAAGCTTATGTGCTTCCCAGCAGACTTCTATTTTTCACTCTCTCTGGATCTCCCATAAGAGTTGCTTGAGATCTTTCCCCGAAGCAGTCTAATCCATTTTGTTAGTTTGTCATCTCCGTGGGCCAAAGTTTAACAGAACAAAATTTGTCTCAGGAAACTTTTCTTGAATTTAAGTAACTGTTTCTACTGATTTTTTTCATGTCATTTTCTTAGGAACCTCTCAAAATGGTATTCCCTTTCATTCAACCCTGAATTCTAGAATAACTTTTGAATCACACTAGGGAAATCCTGCTTCTGACTTTAATCCCCTCTTAAGACAGCCAGTCTCGAAATTCTCATCTGCAACTGAGATCTACAAATCTCAACTCTTTTTTTTTAATTTTTATTTACTTATGATAGTCAGAGGAGGGGGGGGCAGAGACACAGGCAGAGGGAGAAGCAGGCTCCATGCACCAGCAGCCCGACGTGGGATTCGATCCTGGGTCTCCAGGATCGCGCCCTGGGCCAAAGGCAGGCGCCAAACCGCTGCGCCACCCAGGGATCCCAAATCTCAACTCTTTATTCCTTTACTTCCTAGCTCTGGCTCAGCTCTAAAAACTGGGTTTTTCTGAAATTATGTAACACACACAAAAAAACACGTTTTTTAAAAATTCCTCATCCCCATGTGTTCCACCAATTTCTAACTTCATTTGAATCTGATCAGGGGCTGAGACAGTCCACAAGAAGGACAAGGAAAAAAGGAAAGGGAACCATACGGGGTGCACTCTACATGGAAACCATGAGGTTTGTTCATTTGTCTGCTTATTTTTGAGGAAAGGCAGAATGTTGGCTCTACTTATAAAACACCATCACAGGTATCTATACATCAATCATCACCACATATCCTTAAGTCAGAAAATGTTCACCTACTTGAAAAATATCACTTTGCCACATTAGTATTATGCTTGTTACATGAGTATCATGCT